AGGGCAGAGACAGACAGACAGACAAACAGAAGGAAGAGCCCCCATCCACTGGTTTACTCTCCAAATGCTTGCAATAGCTGGGTCTGGGCCAGGCCAAAGCTGAGAACCAAGACTCAGTTCAGGTCTTCTGTGGGGATGGCAGGAACCAAATTGCTTGGGCCATCACCTGCGGTTTCCCAGAGTACACATTAGCAGGAAGCTGGAATCTGGGGTAGAGCCAGGACTTGAACCCAGGCTTTGCAGTGATGTAGGCATCTTAATTGTTAGGCCAAATGCTTATACCTTAGGGATCAAATTTTATTTCAGGATCTAATTAGAAACTAACAAAATTGCTCTGTCTTAAAGTCAGATTAGAAAGGACATTTGCTGGTAGGTAGAACATAATAATAAAAAGTAAGATAGCATAAGGAAGATTTTAAAATTATTAAATAGTAGATTTTTTACATAAAATCCTGAAATATTTCCTAATAAGTATACCATATGTGTTTATTTAATACTGGAATTATCACTTAGATTATTAAGCAGTGAAGATATGGATTTATAGGTGTTGTTCCAAAAAGTATTTTCTTGGGGCCAGCACTGTGATACAGTGGGTGAAGTTGACATCTACAGTGCTGGCATCCCATATGGGCTCCTGTTTGAGTCCTGCTGTTCCACTTCTGATCAAGCTCCCTGTTAATGTGCCTGGGAAATGCAGCAGAAGATGGTCCAAGTGCTTGGGCCCCTGCACCCACGTGGGCGACCCAGAAGAAGCTTCTGGCTACTAGCTTAGGCCTGGCCTAGCCCTCGTCATTGTGGCCATTTGAGGAGTGAACCAGTGGATGGAAGATCTCTCTTATGTCTCTCTGTCTCTTCCTCTCTCTCTGTAACTCTGACTTTCAAATAAATAAATCTTTAGAAAAAAATAAAAGTGTTTTCTTGGGGCCGGCATTATGGTGAAGCAGGTCAAGCCAATGCCTGCGATGCTGGCATCCCACATGGATGCCCGTGGATGTCCCAGCTACCCCATTTCTGATCTAGCTCCCTGCTAATGAGCCTGAGAAAGCAGCAGAAATGGCCCAAGTGCTTGGGCCCCTGCCATCCACGTGAGAGACCCAGAAGAGGTTTGTAGCTTCTGGTTCCTGGCCTCAGCCTGATCTAGCCCTGGCCATTGCAACCATTGAAGAAATGAAGCAGCAGATGGAGAATATCACCACTTCCCTCCTTCCCTCTATCTGTAACTCTGCCTTTCACATAAATAAATAGATTCTTAAAGTATTTTCATGACATATCAATTGATATTTTTCATAATGTAAATTTTACTGAATAATTTTTAATTGAATATCTGCTTACCTTTGCTAAGTGGTTTCTACCATATACTAATTATCATGTTAGGGTTTAACTAAAAGTTTATGGGTCCTAAAACTTGTTGAAAATAATTTGAGATACTTGTAGAATTTTAGTAGAAAGGGACCTGGTTTAAGTATTTAACAGTTATCTTCTGAAAACAAGATACTTTTTATGATGGTGATTCCATTGTGGTTGCCACATTTTCTTTGCTTCCTATGAAGAAGCTCTTATTGCACTTGCAAAAGCATAGAGTCATGTCAGAGGTCAGCTATTTGAGTCCATTTTCCCACAGCCGCCTGGTGTGAATGATCTTTTACTGTGTTTTAAAAAAATGGGTAAGGATTAGAGAGGATTAGAAAGAATATTACCCTCCTGAATATAGACCCAAGGCACTAAGGGGAGAAAACCCAACCAGGCAGCAAATGGGCTTTGCTTGACCAGGACACAACCTCTGCTGCATTCCTTTAAGAAACTGAATGGGAAATGTTAAGTCCCCAAACTGGATTAGTAAATAATCTTATAGTTTGTGACATCTGCTAAAATAAATCGATAAGCAGACTGCTTGCTTACACTTTGGACAGAGTCATCAAGAGTAAGAGTAATTAAAGATGGGCGTTAAGCTTAGTAATTGTTGGAAAGGCACATTTCATAAACAAGAAAAAATATTTTAGATGTATTTGTATCATGAGTATATATATATTAATAATCTAAGGCTTATATTTTTGGAACCACCACAAATTCTTATTTTTAAGATTCTTTCTACAGTCCTATAGTTTGTAGCCATTTAATACTGCTTCACAAATTCAGCACTTTAATTTGTATTAGCTTATTGGTTTATATAAGAACATGGGGACCCAGAATTTGAAATGTGAGAACTTATCTTTTTAGACACTCTGGAATGTTTCTTTTTTTATATTTTATAATAGAACTTAATGTGGTTTGGGCCTTATGACACATAATTGGGTATCAAGTGGTTTAGAATCAAAGAGATTTTTTTTTTTTTTCAAATTTATTCTAGAAGAACTGCCTTCTGGTTTCAGTCCTTAGAGGAAGTCTTTGGCTGACTAAATGTTTTCTTAAAAGTTTTATTTTCAACTACCACTTCAGTATTAAAGACAAAGTATACCTGGTTAATTTTTTATCTTCCTTCATATAATTAGAACATTTGATTAGTGAAATAACTGATTATACTTATTTTGTTGTGGATTCTAATATTAGGGAAAGTACTTTCTTTAGGAGTTTAAGATAGCATCTAGTCTCATGTGAAGAAGAATTGATAGACTAACTTCTTTAACAGGCACATTTGTAAGTCTCAAACACATCTTGCACTATGCTATCATGATTCAGTGCCTTTGTTCAAGATGGTCCTGTGCTTTCAGTATGTACTGTTTTCCCATAGGTCCCTGCAGTCTACTCATCTACATTTTATCCATCTTTAAATATCAACTCAAATTTCCTCAATGCTTTATCTCTAGCCTCTAAATCATAATACCTCCTAAACATACATTTGTTATATGACTCAGCATTTTTAATCCAAGATATTTACCCAAGCAAAATGAAAGCATACATTCACACCAAAACTGGCACACTGATGTTTTTCGCAGCATTATTTGTAACAGCTAAAAGGTGAAAACAACCAAATGTCTGTCAACAAAATATGGTGTGTCCATACAATGGAATGTTAATCAGCTATAAAAAGAATTGAGGTACCAATACATGCTATGACCTGAATGAAATTTCAAAACATGTAAGTATAGGAAACCAGTCACAAAGACTACATTTCATATAATTCCATTTATATGCAAGGCTGTTCAGACAGAAAATAGGCTATTTGTTGCTTGAGAGGAATGGAAAAATAGGGAAGTAAGGGTGGTAACTGAAGGGTACAGGGTTTTCTTAGTTACAGGGTATAGGTGATGAAAACAACCAAATGTCTGTCAACAAAATATGGTGTGTCCATACAATGGAATGTTAATCAGCTATAAAAAGAATTGAGGTACCAATACATGCTATGACCTGAATGAAATTTCAAAACATGTAAGTATAGGAAACCAGTCACAAAGACTACATTTCATATAATTCCATTTATATGCAAGGCTGTTCAGACAGAAAATAGGCTATTTGTTGCTTGAGAGGAATGGAAAAATAGGGAAGTAAGGGTGGTAACTGAAGGGTACAGGGTTTTCTTAGTTACAGGGTATAGGTGATGAATATGTTCTCAAATCAGCTTTGATGATGATAGCACAGACATGAATACATTAAGAATCACTGAGTTGTACATTCTAAATTGAATTCTAAGGTATGTGAATTATGTATATCAATAAAACTGTTATAAAACTAAATAAAAAATACCACCTATCCATATTCCTATATACTTCTTTTTTTTAAGATTTTTTTTTTTTTTTTTTAATTTGAGAGGTAGAGTTACAGACAGTGAGAGGGAGAGACAGAGAGAAAGGTCTTCCTTCCATTGGTTCACTCCCCAAATGGCTGCAACGGCCGGAACTGCGCCAATCCGAAGCCAGGAGCCAGGAGCTTCTTCCCGGTGTCCCACGTGGGTGTAGGGGCCCAAGGACTTGGGCCATCTACTGCTTTCCCAGGCCATAGCAGAGAGCTGGGTTGAAAGTGGAGCAGCCGGGACTTGAACTGGCACCCACGTGGAATGCCAGCACTGCAGGCGGTGGCTTTACCCACTACGCCACTGCACTGGCCCCATATGTATAGTTTTAAGAGCATAATGATACTTCCCTCCCTCTTCCTTTTCTTATTTTTGTTTTAATTTTTACAATAACATACTTTTTAAAAAAAATTATTTATTTATTTGACTGTCAGAGTTAGAGAGAGATCTTGTACTTGCTGATTCACTCCCCAGATGGCCACAATAGCCAGGGCTGGGCCACATTGAAGCCAGGAGCCTGGAGCTTCTTCTGGGTTTCTCATGTGGGTGCTGTGGCCCAAGCATTTGGGCTCTCTTCCACTGCTTTGCCAGGCACATTAGCAGGTAGCTGTATCAGAAGTGGAGCATTCAAGATTTGAACTGGTGCCCATATGGGATGTTGGTGTTGCAGAAGGTGGCTTAACCCACTGCACCACAGCATCAGCCACGACATACTTCCAATTTACTTTATAATCACAAGTTTAACCCTCCACTAAATAAAGAATTCAACAAGTAGCAAGTAGAAAAACCACTGTTCCTCAGAAATGTAGACAAGGATTGTAAACAACAATCAAATTTCAAAATGTCAATTTCACTCATATACATAAGTGTTTTTTCTGTATTCTGTATATTACCACAAATCAGGGAAAATGTAATATTTATATTTTGGAGACTGGCTTATTTACTAAGTATAATAGTCTTTAATGCTTTTTTACAGAAATAAATATTTATTCTTATATTATTTCCTGATCTTGAACTTTCCATTTTGTACTTAGCAAGGTCATATAAGCTGTGTATCACGTTATTTTTACCTATAGGGATATTCTGATTTTTGAAATTTGCATATACAAGCATTTTCTACACATGTAATCAATAATATCTTCATGTCATTTCCACTAGTTTAATGGTTTTTAAAAATCAATTTGACTTTATAACATTTTGAATATACTTTTTGTGGGTGTTTGACTTTAACACAATTTCATTTTTCTTTTTTCTGTGTGTGTTATTCTTGCAGTATTTACTAGAGATGAAAAGTTTGATTTTGCCTCCAGAACACATTCTGAAACGGGGTGATAGTGAAGCAATTGCCTATGCTTTCTTTCATCTTCAGCACTGGAAGCGAATAGAAGGTGCTCTTAATCTCTTACAGTGCACGTGGGAAGGCAGTAAGTGTTCCGTTCCAAATGCAACGTTAATCTCTTTGATGACTCATTGCATACACAGGCAGTCTTTTCTAGTGAGATGGAGTTCTGTAAGGAGTTTGTAGTTCAGATTGATATCAGAGTGAACCCAGTAGCATTATATTTGGTTTACTGGTAGAAGAAATGCTTAATTTATTTATATTGATGCCATATTTGGGAAAAGTAAAATGAGAAACTGTTAAGATATTCTGCCATATGTTCATTTCAGTTAAACATTTGTAAGGGAGGAAAATGAAAGTTTATACCATTTGGCACATATGTTTTTTAATGTGGTTGAGCTGTTATTCTAATATTTTAAAATTTGGTCTGGTTTTTTGTTTTGATTTCAGATGTAAAAAACATGAAACTATTTTCCTCATAACTAGTATCCACTCTGTTCTTTTTAAAAAATGTGGTAAAATACACATAACATAGATAACTTGCCATTTTAGCCATTTTTCAGTGTATAGTTCGGTAGCATTTGGCACATTCACACTGTTGTACAGTTGTCACTACCACCTTGCTCCTGAATCTTTCATCATCCCAGATTGAAATTCTATACCCATTCAATGATAACTCCCCATTCCCACTTCCCTCTAGCCCCAACTACCATTCTACTTTCTGTCACTAAGAGTTTGACTACTGGCTGGCAATGTGGCTCACTAGGCTAATCCTCCTGCGTGTCCGGTATCCCAGGTTCTAGTCCCAGTTGGGGCGCCGGTTCTATCCCGGTTGCTCCTCTTCCAGTCCAGCTCTCTGCTGTGGCCCAGGAAGGCAGTGGAGGATGGCCCAGGTGCTTGGGCCCTGCACCCGCATGGGAGACCAGGAGAAGCACCTGGCTCCTGGCTTTGGATCAGCGCAGCTCGCCGGCCGTAGCAGCCGTTTGGGGAGTGAACCAACGGAAGGAAGACCTTTCTTTCTTTCCTTCCTTCCTTCCTTCCTTCCTTCCTTCCTTCCTTCCTTCCTTCCTTCCTTCCTTCCTTCCTTCCTTCCTTCCTTTTCTCTCTCTCTCTCTGTCAAAAAATAATAAATAAATAAAATTTTAAAAAAGAGTTTGACTATCTGATGTAAGTGGTATTGTAGCAGTATTTATTCTTTTGTATCTAGTTTTTTTTCCCACTTTTTGTAACATCTTCAAGGTTCAACCATTTCACAGCTTGTGTCAGAATTTCCTTCCTCTTTAAGGCTGAGTAATATTGTATTGAATGTATATACCACATTTTGGCTAAACAGTTATCCATCAATGGACATTTCTACCTTTTGGCTATTGTGAATAATGCTGCTGTGAACATTGGTGTATATATCTGTTTGAATTCCTGCTTTCATTTCTTTAGCGGCATATACCTAGGAATACAATGTCTCAATCTTAAAATTTTTGGTAATTTTTTGAGGAACCGCTATACTGTTTTCCATAGCAGCTGTACCATTTTACATTCTTGCAATAAATGCACAAAATTTTCTGTTTATCTATATCTTTCCCCACACTTGTTATTTTCTGTATTTTTAAAAAAATAATAGCCATACTAATAGCTGTGAAGTGGAATCTCAGTGTGACTTTGATTTGTATTTTCCGAATAGTTATTGATGTTGAACAAATTTTCATCTATTTATTAGCATCTTTATATCTCCTTTGGAGAATAAATTAGACTATTTCTTAGAACTGTTTCCGGGGTGTCTTATTCATAATGTCTTACAACCACCAAGAAAGTGAGGGAGCTTAATCAACATGTTTTATCAGTTGGATTTGTGTAATAATTCTTTTAGAAATTTTCAATTTCTAAAAACTATCAGTAAAAATTCAAAAATCAATCCCATGCTCACTCACTAAGATTGATTAACCCAGTCAGTTCTGAAACTTTGGCATGAGATACCTTGGGATAGTCACAAGAATGCTATTGAATATTTTACATTTTCAATGGAAACACAATAACATCAGTTAGACACCATTCAAACTGCTAGCACCAGACAGTTAGCAATGCAATATTAAGTTACTCTCCATTCCTTTAAATGTTCTATCCTTGCAAAGGTCAGTTTTTGTGAGTTGCTATGATGACTAGAAGTACCATGTAGAACAGGAAGTAAGGATGATAGTTCTGGGGCAAGTGCTGTGGCACAGTGGATTAATCCTCCACCTGTGATGCCAGCATCTCATATGGGTGCCGGTTCTAGTCCCAACTGCTCCTCTTCCAATCCAGCGCTCTGCTATGGCCTGGGAGAGCAGTGGAGGATGGCCCAAGCCCTTGGGCCCTTGCACCCATGTAGGGGACCTGGAGGAAGCTCCTGGCTCCTGGCTTTGGATTGGCACAGCTTCGGTCATTGTGGCCACTTGGAGAGTGAACCAGCAGATGGAAGACATTTCTCTCTGTCTCTCCCTCTCACTATCTGTAACTCTGCATCTCAACTAAATAAATAAAAAACTTAAAAAAAAAAAAAGGTATAATAGTTCCAACCTAGTTCCAAGGTTTAAGAAGTTGTGCAGTGTCCAACAGGCTCATAATATACCTCATCAATAAGAGATGATGCTTATTCAAAAATGGAATAAGAAAATTATTTTACTTTCAATTAATGTGTGTGTTTTTCCCAAATTGCTGTTTTGACTCACTGTTTAGTAAACGAACTTGTTAGATATTTATTTCAGTCTGTGACACCATAAAAAATTACTGAGACATGAATGGCACCATATGTTTTTGAATCAAGAAAATCAGTGAACCTCTGCATTCACCGTTTGTAAGGATCATACACTGTGCTTGACACTGACAATATAAAGATCAATAAAACTGATATGTACTTGAGGAACTGAGTGTCTTTGAACGATTAGACTTTCTTTTGCTTTTTCTCTAGTAGACTATAAGCTCCTCAAAACCATGTACTCTATCTCATTCATCTTGTGTGTGTGTACTGCCTAACATTCTGCTTAACCCAAAGAAGATTTTCAATAAGTACATGGTTTATACTGTAGTTCATGAAGCTTAATGAATGATTTCCTAATGTTATCACTGATAAGCTCTATGACTTTGGGCAAATAACTACTATTTATTGTGGCAAAACCAAATCTATATTTCAAGAAAAGTTTAATGGAGCAAACCATTAAAGGAAAAACAACTTTATCACAATTTTGATGAGTACTTAATTAGTAGAGTAGATCAATAAGGATTTCTCTGTTAATAAAACTCCAAGAGTTAGTGATAATTTATATTAGGAATGGGCAAACTTTTTCTGTAAAGGCTTATAAGCCATACAGTCTTTGTCACAGCTACTCAATATATGTAGCATGAGCCTTAGATAACATGTAGCTGTGTTACAATAGAAAGATATTTACAAAACAGGTGGTAGGGGGCTGGTGTTATGGCACAGTGGGTTAGGCTGGTGTCTGCAATGCCAACATCCTATATGGGCAGTGATTCTAGTCCTGGCTGCTCCACTTCTGATCCAGCTGCCTGCTAATGCACTTGGGAAAGCAGTGGAGGATAGCCCAAGTCCTTGGGATCCCCTGCACCCACGTGTGAGACTGGGAGGGAGTTCCTGGCTCCTGCTGTCAGTCTGGCCCAGCCCCAGACATTGCGGTTATTTAGGGATTAGACTAGCAGATGAAAGATCAATCTCTCTCTGTCTCTCTGTCTCTCTCTGTCTCTCTCTCTCTCTCTCCAACTCTTCCTTTCAAATCTTCCAAACAAACAAAAACAGGTGATGGTCCAGATCTGACCAAAGGATTGTATTTTGATGACCCCTGATATAGATTCAGCTCTGCCCATAGAAACATTGGAGAACCTCACATGTGAAGTTAGGAACTACAGAGAGCTCTTTTAGGTTGCCAGCAGTTAATAGGTACAAAAATAAGCACGTTGCAATTTTTTGAAGATTCCTTTAAGAAGTAGAATTTACACTGTGAAGTTAAGTCTGTTGTATTTTTTTTTTTTTATAGGCAGAGTGGACAGTGAGAGAGAGAGAGAGACAGAAAGGTCTTCCTTTTGCCATTGGTTCACCCTCCAATGGCCGCCGCGGCCGGCGTGCTGCGGCCAGCCCACCGCGCTGATCCGATGGCAGGAGCCAGGAGCCAGGTGCTTTTCCTGGTCTCCCATGGGGTGCAGGGCCCAAGCACCTGGGCCATCCTCCACTGCACTCCCTGGCCATAGCAGAGAGCTGGCCTGGAAGAGGGGCAACCAGGACAGAATCCGGCACCCCGACCGGGACTAGAACCCGGTGTGCCGGCGCCGCTAGGCGGAGGATTAGCCTAGTGAGCCATGGCGCCGGCCTAAGTCTGTTGTATTTGTAATGAAGAGATGGAAGCAAAAAAGCATCTAATCAGCTCCATCCAACACTCCTTTTAGGTTTATACAGGAAGACTGGACCATTCATTATTCTCTAAATAAATCTTATTCTCATCTTTATTCATTCTCTTGCTTAGTTTGTTTCATCTATCTAAAGTGTTTATGAAAGAAAATAATATACCTTGATAATTTTATAAAAATGTCTCAAAGTAGCTTTGATGTGTTGTGTAGGATGATAAGACAGAATTAAATGTTAATGGGTATATTTTTTCTTTTGCTCAGCTTTTAGAATGATTCCATACCCACTAGAGAAAGGACATCTATTTTATCCTTATCCCAGCTGCACAGAGACTGCTGATAGGGAGCTGTTACCTAGTAAGTAAATGTTTCCATTTTCCTAAATTTTAAAATAATTGTTATATTGTTTTCCATAGTATTCTGCATTTTAAAAGTACCTTGCTTGAAATTTTAGACACTTTATTATTTTAATAATTTCTGGGATGTAGTTGTATAACTCATTTCATTTCCAAAACTGTCTAAGTTAAAAGCAATGGGCACAAAGATTTAAGATTTTAAAAATAAGTTATTTTACAAACATTAAGAAAAAAGTAATATCAGCACCAGTGTTGTAGCACAGTGGGTTAAGCTGCTGTTTGCGACACCAGCACCCCTTATCAGAGTGTCATTTCAAGTCCTGGCTGCTCTACTTTGAATGCAGCTTCTGGCTAATGTGCCTGGAAAGGCAGTGCAATGTGCCCCAAGTTCTTTGGCCCCTGCCACCCATGTGAGCGACCAGGATGGTATTCCTGGCTCTTGGCTTTGGCTTGGCCCAGCCCTGGCTGTTGTGGGCCACCTGGAGGAGTGAATGAGTACATAGAAGATCTGTCTCTTTCTCTCTCTCAGTCCCTGTCTCTGTCTGTTCCTCTCTGTTACCCTGCCTGTCAGAAAAAGAAGGAAATCTTTAAAAAAATCAAAATAAAAGCAGTCCTTCACAAACCCTTTCAGAAAATAAAGGAGGGAGCACTCTTTAACTCATCTGGTGAGCCCAATAGTACCCTGATACCAACACCAAGGACATTTTAAGAAAACTATAGAACAGTAGCCCTTATGAATTGAGACACAAGCATCTTCAGCAAAATTTTAGCAATTAAATTCAGCCATGTATAAAAAGGATTGAACCAAATAGAATTTACCTTACAAAAGATTGGTTCAACATCTGGAATGCACCGTTAATAAATAGATAGGACAATAGATGCAGAAAAAACATTTGATAAAATTCAACACCTATTCATGATAATAACTATCAACAAACGCTAGTAAAAGAAGGGAAGTTCTTCAACCTGATAGAGTATCTATGAAGAATCCACAGTAAGCACCATACTTAATCCTCTAAGATCAGGAATGTAGCAGGGATGTCCGTTCTCGCCATTTCTGTGTAGCACAGTACTACTGGTTCTAGCCAATATAATCAGGCAAGAAAAAGAAATTAAGAAAAAAAATCAATATTGGAAAAGAAGAGGATCCGTTTAGGAAATGAGATCTGCAGGATCGTAGGATATAAGAACAATATTCAAAAATCAATAATCTACCTACATACTATACTAAACAATCTGAAACAATCTGGCCACTTGGAGGAGTGAACAAGTAGACAAAAGATCTGTTTCCCTCTCTCTCAGTCTCTCTCTGTCTGTCCCTCCATGTCACCCTGCCTTTCAGAGAAAGAAAGGAATCTTTCAAAAAATAAAAATAAAAATAGTCCTTCATGAATCCCTTCAGAAAATAAGAGAGGAGGGAGCACTCTCAACTCCTTTAGTGAGCCCAGTAGTACAATCTGAAAGTGAAATTTAGAAAACAGTTCCAATTAAAGTAGCATCAAAAAGAACAAGTAACTTAGGAATGAATTTAACAAAAGAAGTGTAAGAGTTGCATACTAAAAACTACAAACTATTGCTGAGTGAAATTTAAGAAAATCTAAATAAATGGAAAGATTTTATGTTGATGAATTAGAATACCCACTATTGTTTAGATGGTAATTCTCCCCAAATTGATCTTGAAATTTAATAGTGTACCTATCAAAATTGTAGGAGGGATTTTGCAGAGTTTAATAAGTTGGTCCTAAAATTTACATGGAAAGGTAAAGGATACAAAATAGCTAAGTTATGTATATAAAGAACAAAGTTGTAGGAATTACATCTCCCAATTTGAAAAAGAGCAAAGAGTCAGGAGGAGAACCAGACACATGTAGTGTTAGGGCTGCTGAGAATGTTTCTGTCTAACCCTTGCCTTCAGGATGCCAGGCCTCTCAGAATAGTCTACGTCTTTGTTAGCTGCCTTATCATCTACTCAGTGAGAACTGGTAAATCTCTGTTTAACTTTTCTTTTATGACATACCTGATAAGTATGCATGCTGATGGTTAGAAACACTAGCGCCCATCTTTCCTTATATGATGTACACCTTTGCCACAGTCTTTACAATACTGAGTCATTAGAACTGAAGTCTAGAAAGGAAAGTTTCAGTTTTATAACCATCAAACTTCATGAGCTGAAATTTAGGAGAATGATGGTGGCAAGTTGAATATGCTTGTATTATACTGCCAAGGTCTTTTTTCTTATTTTTAAATATTTATTTATTTATTTATTTATTTTGAGAGAGAGAGCTAGAGCAAGAGCTCATGTGAATGCTCCCATTCACTGGTTCATTCCCTAAATGCCTGCTACCACTGGGACTGGGCCAGGCAAAAGCTGAATCCAGGTCTCCCACATGACTGGCAGGGACCCAATTACTTGAGCCATCACCCACAGCCTCCCAGGAAACTGAAGTCAGGAAATAAAGGTAAAAGTATCAAAATCAGGCACTCCAATATGGAATGCAGGCAGCTTAATTGCTAAGCCAAACACTTGGCCCTGCTAGGATTTTTTATTTTCCTCCTTCAGCTAAGAGAAGTGGACTTTCTTGTTTCTCAAAGTGCTTACTTGCTGTCTTTTTTTCTTTTCTTTTTTGTGAGGCAAAGACACAGCAAGAGAGCTCTCTCTCGTCTGCTGGTTCAGTCCTCAAATGCCTACAACAGCCAGGACTTGGCCAGCCTGGGAATAGAAACTCAGTCCAAGTCTCCCAAGCAGGTGGCAGGAACTCAATTACTTAGGCCATCACTGCTGCCTCCCAGGGTCTGCATTCGCAGGAAATGAGTCCAGAAGCAGAGATGAGTATCACAGCCAGGCACTCCAATATGGAATGCAGGCATCTTAATTGCTAAGCTAGATGCTGGCCCCTATATACTGCTTTTTTTTTTTTTTTTAAGATTTATTTATGTATTTGAAAGACAGAGTTACAGAGAGAAATAGAGAAACAGAGAGAGATCCTCCATCCACTGATTCACTCTCCAAATGGCCCCAAGAGCCAGGGCTGGACCAGTTCGAAGCCAGGAGCTTTATTTGGGTCTCTACATGGGTAGCAGGGGCCCAACCACCTGGGCCATCTTTTGCTGCTTTCCCAGGCCTTTAGCGGGAAGCTGGCTCAGAAGTGGAGCAGCTGGGGCATGAACTGGCATCCATTTGAGATGCCGGTGTCTCAGGTGGAGGCTTAACCTGCAATTCCATAACAAGGTCCCCACCCTGCCCCCCTCCTACTCTCTTCTCCCCACTGACCCCCCTATAGTGTACTTCTTGATCTCCCCTTTTAGACCATAAACGCTTTGTATGCCAGGATTCTTTTTTTTTCTTTTTGTCCCTGTATCTCTATGATGTTTGTCATAAAGACTGGTATTCAATATTATTTGAATTACTAAAATTTATTAATTTACTCTTCTAAGCAAACCTGGCACATTTTAACTAAAATGTTAAATATGGGTTCTGCATTTGGCCTAGCAGTTAAGACACTGGGGTATTTGGGGAGTGAGCCAGCAGATGGGAGCTTGTTATCTCTCTCCTGACTCCACGCTCTGTGTCTCCGTCTCTCAAATAAAAAAAAAATAACTAAATATTAATACCTTTTTCTCCTTTCCCTATTCTGAACTCCCGGGTTATTAACAGATTAATAGAGAGACTTAAAGACAATGTGCTAATTGCTATATGTATAGAATAATTATATAGAAGTTTGAGGTGGGAGGGCCAGTCTTTCCAGGAAATTAAGGAAGATTCTCAATTTTCTTACTTTGGTGACTTAAGGAATGCTAAATCTTTCATACCGCAGGAGAAGCAGATTTGAGAATAAGGATAGGGTAAGTAAATAAGTACAGGCTTTCATTATGTTGCTTGTGAAATGTCTTATTCTTTCATATATGTATGTATGGATATATATATTCCAGTGATATATGATCTATTTACACATATACATAAAAGTTTGTAATTTACATTTAAATAATGTGTCTAAGATATATTTGTAAGTTATATGTATTTATGATATGTATATTATAAAGTTCATGTATAATATATAAATAGTAAATGTTTTAAGCGTACTTTGGGCGTAAGTTACACAGAGCCACTTCAGACCAACTTCAACATAAATGGGCATTTGTTGGAAGAGCACTGGGTTGTCAGGAACCCAAAAGCAGCAATTGCAGTTTGACTTTATAAGGGACGAGAACCAGGAACTGCAAGGCTGTTAGGATTTCCACAAGTCAGTTATCCGTATCTCTTTGTCTTTGGCTGCTTTTTTCAGTCCCTCCTATTCTTTCTTTTTCTCCTCCCCCAATCCCTACTTGTGTGATTTTTTATTTCTGGTTTTCTCAGTGTATCAGCTTCATTCTTATATCTTTCTCTTTGTAGTTTGGCTTTCCCATCATAGACATTCATGAAGCCAAATTTGATGCCCTCATGACTGTGTACTTGTCATCAGTTCAGGAAAGTAATACTGAATGAATAGTATCTCAATCCCCCTTGCAGAGCTTCTAGAAGATTCAGTTTTACCCAAGGCTTCATTTCTGGTCCAATCAGCTGTAACCTAAAGATATGATCAGGTTATGTAAAAATGCCAGGGATCTGATATCTGTCTCTACATCTCACAAAGCAGAATAAGGAGTCATCATTTTCTAACTAGCAAAAAATGAATGAGATCATGAAAGGAAACTATACTGTGCAGAGTGAACAAAGCATAGGACCAGCAAGGCATAAAAATGTCCAGGGAATGGGTGGCAGGGAAGGAGTTCAGTAAAGGAGTGGTGAGAGAGGACAAGGACTGGATGTCTTAGAAACTAAAAGGAGAAGATGTTTCCAAGTGAGGAGGAGTAGCCGAGATAATTCGGCGTGGCAATTACTGAGAAGAAGCCATTGACTTTGGCAATTAGGAGGTCATTAGTGAGAGAAATTTCACTTTCCTTCCTAGGGTGGGTGATGGTAGTTACTTGTTCTTGTTGTTTGTCCATTTGAATAGGAACAGGGATGTTTAAAACAAAGGAATGGATCTTTAAGTATGGAACATCAGTATGCAAGATTGTATCTTATTAGGCTAATACACTTAGCCTAACATAATGGTTCTCTTTGTAAGTTCTTACAGATTTGAGAGATCTTTAAAAGGTTCACAGAAAATGAATATTGTGGAAAAACTGCATGACTTCATGGATTTTTTGCACCAACATAAACTTACCTTTTTAATTCTATTTTTTCCACGAGTTTTTTTTTTTTTAATAAATTTATTTATTTGAAAGAGTTACAGAGAAGGAGAGGTGGAGGAAGAGAGAGAGAGAGAGAATGAATGAATGAATGAATGAATCAATCAATCAATCTTCCGTCCACTGGTTCACTCCCAAATGGCCACAATGGCTGGGGCTCAGCCAGCCTGAAGCCCGGAGACTGGAGCTTCTTCCAGGTTGCCCGTGTTGGGGCAGGGGTCCGAGGACTTGGGTCATCTTCTGCTGCTTTCCCAGCTGCATTAGCAGGGAGCTGGATTGGAAGTGGAGCAGCTGGGACCTGATCCAGCGCCCATATGAGATGCCAGTGCTGCAAGCAGCTGCTTTTCTGTTTCGCCATAGTGCCGGCCAGCCCCTTTCCATGAGCTTAATGGAGTAACCTCATATAACACCAACTTTACATAGGAATATGAATAAAATGAGGGTGATTTTCATATTTGCAGACCCATAAACCACAAAACCAGACAACTTGCTTTTTTGCAAGCCTTTATTAATTCTAACCCCATATAGGTAGCAAACTCCAGGAGGAGGAATGAAGGGGTATGCTAGAGGGTTTTGTTTGATTATATTGTATGTTCTTAAAGTATTTTTTCTGTCTCTGATTGTGATAGAATGAACAAATTTTTAATAATGTGGACTTCTAATACCCAGGGGTACTTAATGTTTTTTGTTTTTAATTCTCCTTCAACCTTGATATGACTTATAGCATTCTGGAATTTGCTTATGGACCTCATAAGTTCTGACTTGAACTATTCCCCTAGTTCACATAGCTATTTAGTTGTCTTTTATGCCTCCTGATAAATTTTTCTCTACAAGCCAGTGATGAAATTTGAACTTTCATTCCAAGGGAGTGTTTCTGTACTAGTCAGTCATCCATTATATTGATGTATTAGCCAAACATTGACTGACAAATGAATCCACAGAAAGCAATCCAAAAAGAAATAATTAGGTCTCTCCTACAGTATAAAAATCTCATATTTTAGGAAGTTTTCTTACTAAAGCTATGTAGTCTTCTACCTTCTATAAAGTGGAAATAGTCCTATTATCTGTCTAAATAGGATTACTAAAAAATCAAATAAGCTGATATAAATTAAAGCACTTTATAAACCACAAAATGCTAATAGTTTAGTTAATACTATTAATTTTGCTGTCTTGTTCCCTGAATTCTCAAATACCAGAGTTTGTTTCTCTTGGTTTGCTGGAAGAAGTTGGCCTCTCATGACTGAGGGATAGGGCAAAGGGGACTTCTGGTTTTTTGGGTGCTGAAAGCACAATGTTGTCTACAGTTTCTAATGTTTCTAACTTTTAAAAATTCGGCTCTGTTATGCTTTTTTTTTTTAAATAGCTCAAGGCTCTGGAAATTTGCTAGAATTTTAGCAAGCTTGGTTTTTATTTTATACCTTCTGAATATAGTATAAGACATAAAAAGTATCATAGCTATTGAAGGGAGCTTAGGTGTAATCTTTGTGAATCATTGTGTTTAAAAAAGTGAAATTTATGGCTGACCTTGATTCAACACCGAATTAGTCATCCCTTACTAATGCAGGATATTACATCAGGAATTTCTGGGTTAGTGGCTAGCCTCGAGTGGTCAACTTCCTGGACTAATGAAGTCCCAGAATAGCTCTTGGTGTAACAGATATTGTTTGAGTACCTACTGTGTGTCACACACTTTAGTAGGCTCATCTCAGTATTGTTTTTAAAGTGTTTTCAAATTTCAAATATGATATAAATACTTGAATATAACTGGTAGTGAAATATCCAATCTCTGGAAAAATAATACCTGAGTAAATATACAAATGTGGCAAAATAAGACAGGAGACTTCACTTATGGTCAGAATCCTACAGCTCTGATTTTCTGGTTTAATTTTTATGGTGCTCAACAAAATGCCACATATAGAACACATTAATAACTAGGTAAAATTTATTAACTGTTGGCTCTGGGAAATCTCCAATGACATGTCTGTTTATTTATTGCTATACTGTTTCTGAGCTCTCAACAACTCACATTCACTAAGTGATTACAATATTCATCACAAACTCCATAGCGACTTCTAGAGGGATTAGTAACTTCTCAAGATAATATAGCTAGTAAAATACAAGTCTCTTTTTCAGAACCACCTCAGCATAACTTTATAATCAGTGTTCTTTTGCATGATACCATCCTATTCCCAAACCCTAGTACAGTCTGGTTATGTAGATATGCTGTTGATGTTGAAATAAATAGTGGATAATTTTCTTCTACTTTGCATGGCTAAAGAATTCTGTTATTTTGGCCGGTGCCACAGCTCAATAGGCTAATCCTCCACCCGCGGCGCCAGCATACCGGGTTCTAGTCCCGGTCGGGGCGCCAGATTCTGTCCCGGTTGCCCCTCTTCCAGGCCAGCTCTCTGCTATGGCCCGGGAGTGCAGTGGAGGATGGCCCAAGTGCTTGGGCCCTGCACCCCATGGGAGACCAGGATAAGTACCTGGCTCCTGCCATCGGATCAGCGCGGTGCGCCGGCCTCAGTGCGCCGGCTGCGGCGGCCATTGGAGGGTGAACCAATGGCAAAAAAAAAGGAAGACCTTTCTCACTGTCCACTCTGCCTGTCAAAAAAAAAAAAAAAAAAAAAACTTCTATTATTTTACAAAAAAATTTTTCTTTTTAGTTTTTAAAGATAGGTTTCATTTGAAAATACCAAGATTGGTGTATGCTGTATTCTGAAATAAAATTCATTCCTACCTTTCTTCCTTGTAGACTTTCATCATGTTTCTGTTTACCCAAAGAAAGAACTTCCTTTTTTCATCCATTTCACAGCGGGATTGTGTTCTTCTACAGCAATGATAGCCCTTCTCACACACCAGTTTCCTGAAATCATGGGTATTTTTGCTAAAGCTGTAAGTATGATCTCAAGGACTTGTGTAGAGTATTTGTAAAACCCACAAGAAACCACCTGTGATCTGTTTGTGCTAACTCAGTTGAACAGTGGAAAATATTTGTTATAGTAAATTATAAGAATTGACTTGTAAAGTTGCTGTCATAAATATGTCAATCATAAGTTTTTGGTGATTTGAGCTATATACCTTTGTTGTTTAAAAGTTTAAAGAATACAATGCCATATATTATAAAGTTGGTCCTCATAGATCACTTTTGGTGATAAAAATGTTACTTATTACTACCTAAGAATGATCCAATTCTTTTTTATTAATGTATTTGTTTTGATATTTAACAAAAATTCCCTATTTTGTAAACAAGCCTTTTGTTTTTGATTTTTTTCTATTTAAATGAAATAGTTCTAAAGAGCTGTCGAACTTTAAATTCAAGAGTGCAACTAAGATAAAGAATAAGTAGATGAGATGGGACAGGTGAGATATTTGTCCTGGGTACAGAATCTGCCTCCTTACTCAGTGGTTCTTCCTGTTGTTTTCTCTGCTTGGTTTTAGTAACCTTCCCCCAGTCTTGGGTATAGAATCATATACAGAGCTTTATTCTCATTTTTACCCATTATTTTGGGCTTGTTCCCCTTTTCCTGACCCAGGAAATACTTGAGTACTAAGAAAGGGGTTATTCCATGACTATTTCCTCTTCTATATAAATTAGTTAATGTCACTGACTCAAAGTAAAATTACCAAAGATAATTCCCTTTAAGTCTCCAAGCCTTTTAGAAAATATATCTTTCATGTACACATGTGCATTTTACCAGGTCATAGGAATTAAAACCCGAAACGAAAGTACTGTTTTATTGTATTCCCAAATGTAAAATCACCAGGAGCTGTAGAAAAACTAGCCTTTATTTAGTATTGTATTTTCTGTATTTTTCTCTATATGCCTCCATTCTAACTCCCTGTTTTCTCACCATTTCTTTTCCTGTCTTAAAAATAGCTTATTTTGTGCCTTACAGATTAGCTGGCTTTCTTCCGGCACCAGTGGTAGCCAGTCCTGGTTTCTCTTTTCCCTAAAGGTCAGCTGTGTAATGTGTGAAGTTGCCACTGGCTGTAGGCCTAGGAGTCTGAGTCTGCACTGGGTTCTGAGTTAAGCTTCAAGAAGAATGACTTTTCACTGTTCCGGGAGTATAGATATTTGGGTTGGAAACTGACTGTTCTATTTCCTTTAACTGTAAAAAAGAAGCTTAGTGATTGATTCTGCCATAACTCTGTTGTTTGCAATGGTGTTGATTAGGGAGTGAGTGCATCTCAAAGTGAATTGAACTTACTGTGTAATCCAGCATGGAAAAGCAAAATGGACTAGAAAGGGAATCCCATCCATTAATAGCTGGGAAAAATATGTGCCATTGTTAATTTGAGATCACAGGCAGCAGTGGGAGAGATGGTTCTTGTGTTTCTCTCAGGGCATTGAGGTGAGAAGGAAGTAAAATAGAGCAAGGTACTGGCTAAAATTAATGTGGGATGTACTCACCATACGCTCTGTCCATCGACATTAGTGTAGAGTGTCTGCCTGAACCTAAGAGGTCACTAATAGTACCAGAAGAGCCTTTAGAATTACATAGCAGAGCTTATTCTTTAGCACTCCTCTAGCAGAGTCTGAGAATGAATTATTATCTATTTTAAAGCTTAAGCTTCTTTTTTAGACCAAAAGTTATTGATAAACTGTGATTGCAGTTGAATAATAAATAAGCTTTTTTTTCACTGTCTGTTGGTATTCGTGTAATTGATGATTATATTGTTAAAATGTGCCTGACGGTGAACTTTTTAAAAAAACGGTTTTCTATTTCTTAATTTAAATGTATATTAATTTTTTTAGAAAATATTTATTTCTTTGTTTGAAAGGCAGAGCAGCAGAGACAGAGAGAGACAGAGATCTTTCATCCACTGATTAACTCTCCAAATGCCTGCAAAAACTGGGGGTGGGTCAGGCCAAAGCCAAGAGCCTGAAACTCCATCCAGGCCTCCCACTTGGCTGTCATTCTGCTGCCTTCCAGTTGGATTAGCAGGAAACTGGACTGGAAGAGCAGAGTAGCTGGGACTCAAACCATACCCTCTAATATGGGATGCAGGCTTCCCAAGCAATGGCTTAACATACTGCACTATAGTGCCCACCGTGATAGTGAACTTTTATAACCACCTCTGTCCCTGTGGGGTTTACATGTCCATTTTAAATTTCCAATCATCCGGTGGGTGTTTGGTATAACAGATGAGCTGCCCATTTGTTGTGATGCTCTCATCCCATATCCATGTGTCTAGGTTCAAGTCCCATCTCTGACTGTTTTTTTTTTTTATTATTATTATTCAAATAGCAGAGTTACAGAGAGAGAGACAGAGGGAGGGAGGCAGGCAGGCAGGCAGGGAGGGAGGGAGGGAGGGAGAAACCTTCCATCTGCTGGCTCACTCCCCAGATGGCTGCAATGGTCAGAGCTGTACCAGACTGAAGCCAGGAGCCAGAAGCTGCTTCTGGGTCTCCCACATGGGTACAGGGGCCCAAACACTTGGGGCATCCTCTGCTGCTTTCCCAGGCACGTCAGCAGGGAGCTGGACCAGAAGGGAAGCAGCTGAGAATTGAACTAGAACCCACTTGGGATGCCGTGCTATAGGTGGCAGCCTGACTCATCACAGTGCCAGCCCCCAGCTCTGACACTTAATTACAGCTACTTGCTAGTGCAGACCCTGGGAAGCATCAGGTGATGGCTCAAGTGGTTGAGTTTCTGCTTCCCGTGTGGGAGACCTGGATTGAGTCCCTGGCTCCCAGCTTCAGCCTGGCGCAGCCCTGGCTATTGTGGGCATTTGGGGACAAAACTAGTAGATGGGAGCTCTCTGTCTCTGTGTCTCAAATAAAAATTTTAAAAACTCCTAGAACTATTTACTGAAACTACCTGCAAACCAATATTTGCTGTACAGAAGTTCCGAAGGCAGGTCCCATTTAAGAGAGAACAGAAAATGATAACAGTATAGGCAGTCTCCTATTATAAATTCAATATATAAATGCCTTGACAGACCAAGGAACTAGAGGCTGAAATCCTGTTGCTTCACCACTTGGTAAAGTGTGGTATTTGTGTTTAGGAGCATCACCATATCACCATCACCCAAGAACTTGTTAAAAATTCAGGCTCTCAGGCCCCAGTCAGACCACCTGAATGGGAATCTGCATTTTTACAAGGTTTGCAGGTGGTCTTACATGCACATTTAAAGCTTGAGAAGCCCTGTGCTCCCCCCCCACCCATATGAGGAACTTAAAACACCTAGGTAGTGCCACTCCATCAAGGTGGAAAAGGGCCAGCATTGTAGAGTGGTTATGAGCTTAGACTCTGGAGCCAGACTGCTTTGCTCTGAATTCCAGCCCTGGCACTTACAGCCTGTGCAACCTCAGGTAAGTTACCTACCCTTTTCTACCTTTAATTGTAAAATGAGAACAATAATGCCATATAGGTATTGGTGAGGATAAAATGAATTTTAAATATATCAAATGTCTAGAGCCATGTCTACTTACAATAAAAACTAAGTGAGTGTTAAGTGTCATTGCTGCCACTACTGTCTTCATTGTCTCCAAAGTGCAGCTATTTTGGTAAACCCTACCCCCTTCACATGTGGAGGAGATATGTCCTAACAGTGAGCTCAAAATGCATTTTCCCACAGAAACTGTATTATAAATGCAGGTTGGGTGTCATTTAAATAGCTATAATGTATCTCTGGTACATCATGTGGATGCGAACTACAGAAGTGGAGAAATGTTTCATGTTACAGGCATTGGCAGACTGCCTTGTGGAAGGGAACTTTTGGGTAAATTGCAAACTGCCGATGTTAGGATTTGCAATTAAATCATATATTTGATGGCCAAATAAAGTAGAAATTTTGATGCAGAATCTTTGAAATACGATTTTCTTCTATTTAGTAAGGCAAAGCAATTAAAAAAATTTCCCAGATTTCTTCAGTTACTATTGTCTCTTTCTCATTTAATTATCTTTTTATATTAGTTCATATGCTAAAAAATTAATTTGAATTTCTTAAAATGTATTTGTTATAAAAATTGCCTTTTTATGAAGCCAGACACTAGGGATTAATGATTTTTAATAATTTTCACTGTATCTCAGATTTAAATAAAAGGAAGGGAATGAAGTGGAATGGCTAGTGGTTTCATTTTGTTTGTTTGTTTCTGCTTAGTATAAAGTTATGTGGAATAAGACTTTATTTTCAGCAAGCTAGGATTTTTTTTCCCCTGATTTTTCTCCTGAGATGAAAACCTAGTTTGACATTAGACATAGAGCAATGAAAAAAGTTGCATAAATCTCTGGAGATGTGGAATGTGCTGATATCACAGCTGATATTCTCCAAGGCCAGAATTCCTGAAAAAGGAAAAATTGCTTTTAAGTTGTAGGTCATTTTCTCACCTGCTTTGAAGCTTGCTGGGTTAAATATGAGAGTTCACAGTAAGGGTAGCCAGCAAACAACTGAACTGGAATCTGATTCTGCTTATCTGAAAGGAGCTTCTTTATTTAAGAGCAGCACTGCCTTCTCCTTAGAGAACCAACCTTCATCTATTCTGGCCCCTTTATTTCTGTCTTGCAAGTAAAGCTTTCTTCTTAGTAAAGCTTGGGAGCACGTTATCACAAGAAAAAATTTACAGATGGTCTTTGGAGATTTCACTAACTTATGGATGGATTCAGTCGTGTGGCATGTGACTTTAGTGCTTCCACTTCAGAAGTGTGTTTGAATATAAAACTCCCTAGTTGGGTTTTAATAAATAGAGTAGTCTTTATCATGCTGGCAGAAAAAGATGTTACGGGTAAAGAGAAGAATCAAAAAGATTCCCGATCGCTTCTCGGCCTTTTGGCTAAGATCAACTGTAAAAAGATTTCCGAATAAATTGTTTTACTAAGGCAAAACTTTGTTGAAATTTGTTTCACTGAACACATATTGTAACTGTGGTGGGGTGGGAATGGGCTCTGTTTCCAAATATTTCTACTAATCTTTATGTGGGAAAATGTGGTTGGGCATGCCAGTGATGAATTTCTGAGCAACTCATAATTGGCCAGCTCTACTGTAACTAGGGCCTTACAATCTGCTTGATTAATTCTTTAAGGACTACATTAGCCAAGTTGCATGATTTCCAAAGATATAGAAGGTCAGATGTTATACTAACAAAGGACCTCTCTACAGAATGTCTCACTGGGGTTTCTTCAGGCCCTTCCTAAAAATAATTAAAATTTTTCTACCCAAATTACATTTTTTAAAATAATAAGCAGACATAAATGCCAAGTATTTGTTACTGAATAGTGGGTAAAACTTTCAGAAAGGCTTGTCTACTATTCTAATTATTTTTTTTAAGGCAAAGATCATCTTCAGAACTAGGAGAGTTGATAGACAATTATAATTATATATGGATGTTTACCAAAATAAAGGCTCTTAGTTTTTCATTGTCTGTTCATAGGTGAAATACATTTTTCATATTCTCCACCTGACCTCATTCATGCCAAAAACCTATGATATTTTCATACTTCTTTATTAAATACATAAGAAACACATTCAGAAATCAGGCTGTCAGTTAAAATCAGTTTCTTCACTTTTACTGATAATGGATTCATTTTCAAAGCTGAGACTTCTTTTTAGTTTGTAAGAATGGATATAGCTTTAAAAACATTCTTAATTGTAACTAAGCTTTTATTAATACAAAATATTGTTCTGTGACCATGCTGTTTCCAGAGTAATACATCTGAAGTATTTCCCAGAGCCCATACAGTAATCAAATGAATCAATTATGCAAAAAGTCAACTTTTTAGAAGTTTGCATTTTTTTGTTGGTGTTTTTAGTATATCTAAAGTCTTTATTTGGGCAGTCTGGAGTATCTGATTTTGATTTTCATTGTGAACTAGGATGCAGCAAGAGAAAATACATTCTCAATGTCCTATAAGGATATTTGTCATGCTTCATCCTCATTGTTCTTCTTTAAAAAGATCTAAACTGAAAATATGTACAATAGCTGGTGAGAGAATTTGATTGGCTTTCTAAAATTGGAAGAAAAAATTAGTATAAATATAACACCAGTCTTTCAGTCTTTCAACACCAGCCTTCTTTCAGAATCAAAGGTCAAGTTTATGAAGAATTATTGTGGGCCATATAAGGCCTGTGAAATTGGTCTGGACTTGCCAAGGCAACCTCAGGTGGGACTCCAAATTCAGTAAATCTATAGCATGTTAAATGTTAGGTTGACACTTTTTTTGGCCCACAAATAATGTTATAAATATCCAGATGACCCTTGGCAGAAAAAAAATTTCCCTACCCCTGGTCTAAAGTATCATATCTTGGGGCTAGGCATTGTGGTGCATAGGTTACAACGCAGCTTGTCATGCTTGTATCCCATTTTGGAGTGCTTCATAGGAGTCCCAGCTACTCCACTTCCCATCCAGCTTCCCAAGAGTGCACCTGGGAGGTAGCTGATGATGACTCAAGTGCTCAGGCCCCTGTCACTCAGGTGGGGAAACCTGGATGGAGCTCCTGGCTCCTGGCTTTGGCCTCACCCGGCCCTGGCTGGTGTGCTCATTTGGGGAGTGAACTGGTAGATGGAAGATCTCTGTCTGTCTCTGTCTCTTTGTCTTTCTCCCTCTCCCATGTCCTCTTTCTGTTGCTCTTTCAAGTAGATAGAACTAATAAATACGTAAACATTTAAAATATCATAATGGAATTTTTTTCTTTTCTTTTTTTTTTGCTTTAAAGATTTTATTTATTTATTTGCAAGTCAGAGTTACACAGAGAGAGGAGAGGCAGAGAGAGAGAGAGAGAGAGAGAGAGAGAGAGTGTGTCTTCCATCCAATGGTTCACTCCCCAGTTGGCCGCAACAGCCAGAGCTGCGCTGATCCAAAGCCAGGAGCCAGGAGCTTCTTTCAGTCTCCCACACCGGTGCAGGGACCCAAGGACTTGGGCCATCTTCTACTGCTTTCCCAGGCCATAGCAAAGAGCTGTATTGGAAGTGGAGCAGCCGGGTCTCGAACCAGCACCTATATGGGATGCCAGTGCTTCAGGCCAGGGCATTAACCCACTGTGCCATAATGCCGGTCCCAGAATTTTTTTTCTAAAGTGGGAATTTTAGGTAACAGCTGTACTTCCACTCATTGTATCAAGTAGGAAATAGGTATGTTCTTTAATCCTGATGAAGTCTCAATAAGAGAGTGGGGTTTATTGGTATTTTTACTGAATTTGAAGAAAAAAAATATTCTGTAGTAACATTGAGATTACTTAGGTCTATCTTGACAGTAGCCAGTTTCAAGAAATTACTTGGGCTTTAGGTGGCTTAGCAAAATTAAGAGAACTGATATTCAGGGAATTCAGATCTCATAGTCCCTTTTGACCTCATCTTGTGATGTCAGGCATTCTGGAAGTAACACATGTAAGTACTGTTCAAGGTGTGGAAAAGGGCTTTATTCCCAGGGAACAACACCCTTGTTGCCTATCCCCAATATGACACACAGAGAAAGCAGCAGCTTGAGGGAGCATTTAAGAAGTGGGCACGTTCTCACACTCTTCGTTAGGAAGATGCCAGCTCTCCTGATTATTCAATATGCTGGAGTCCCAGTTTCCTTCAGAAGCCGGAGTTAAAACCTTTATTCTCAGGTAGCAGCAGCTTTACAATTAAATTTTAATCCCTGAATGTTGTTAGATTCTTATCTAGAGTACAGCCACAGCTGTTCTTGGCAGGCAAAGACATTGCTGTTTTTCCTTCAGTCACAGTAAGATAGAAAAATGTTCTCTGGCTGGGGTGTGGATGAAGGCACTTTACTAATCTTATTCATAATTCATCCTTGGTTGCTGGGGTTCTCAGAGTTGAAACTTTACCTTCTGATAAAATTCAGCTGGATTTTTTTTAATTATTATTATTTACTTGACTCCAATTCCTTTGGGGGGTTGCCCTTATTGGGAGCTGAGAGATTCTAATTCAGGTAAGCCATGGCTTTGATGACTTTTCTTACTAATTTGCTCTTGGTATATGTTGTTGTAATATACCCTTAAAAACAAAACAAAAACTTCACTGTAATATGCAGTTCAGGGGTTCCTGGGTACCCTAAAAAGAATCCTCTTTCTGTATTGGCTGCCTGAATGGAATGACTTCAGTAGGGCTTATCTTCATTTGTTTTCCAAGTTTAGATTTTTTAAAGAGCCTCAGCATTTAAAATTATGGTAACTATTATTCTATAATATGCTATATGATGAGTGTTCTATAACAGATAGGTCTGTTTCAAATTCATTGCATTAAGATACTACTAATGGATTTCTTTGTTCATTCTTTCATTAATGAGCAGATATTTATCAGGCACCTTTATGAAGTATAAAGTTTCTGTTCAGTTTCTGTTCCTGGTAGCTCATAGTCTTTTTTTTTTTTTTTTAAGATTTATTTATTTACTTGAAAGAGTTACACAGAGAGGGAAGGAGAGACAGAGACAGACAGAGAGAGAGAGAGAGTCTTCCATCCGCTGGTTCACTCCCTAGATGGCCGCAATGGGCGGAGCTGTGCCAATCCGAAG